ATATTCCAGCTATATGGGAGGTCTGTAAATAGTCGAGTCAGACAATCCAGTGATCAACATCATGACCATCGATCTACACAACTGGGATATGGTGACATGTGTCAACCAAGTCAGCGAACCTGACCACCCACGTTGGACCGCAAATTCTAACCCAGATCTTCATGGTTTGTTTCTTCTTCATCGCGATGAGCACACACAACATACCTATTGCTAATGATTCTTTTGAGAGTCGCATTCAGTACTATTGTTTGCGGAAACAGCCAGATGGTTAAATAATGATTAGTAAAACACCAGGCATCTGAAATTACATTTTTGTCAACATCTGCATATAATGCTATAGGTTCCTTTCCATGAAAACAACATATTTTCAGAAATTAAAATGCTAAAGGGTTTAAGTTCATGTTTGAGAGCTATATCAGAATATTCAGCATCAGTCTCCGTACACGTTAAGGATACGCTGACACTCCTGTTTATGAAAGGTGTACTACAGGCAGGGCATGACCTGTTTACCCTGGTGTCACAAACACCGGGTGTCATCACTGATTTTCAGTTTCATCACTATTTTGCCTCTTGACTTATACTATGTTTTCCAAGTAAAATTGTTACAATGTATATTACTTCTTTGAGGGCATTTTTAGAAGTTGTATAGATGAAGGAAAACCAAGTTCTATGGATAGTCAAATTCTTTATTGCAATGAGTGCGACGTTTCGGTGTAGGTACTAACACTGTTATCAAGCAAGTGACGTGACTTGCTTCATAATGGTGTTAGTGACGTGACTTGCTTGATAACGGTGTTAGTACCTACACCGAAACGTCGCACTCATTGCAATAAAGAATTTGACTATCCATAGAACTTGGTTTTCCTACAATGTACATACTTTATATTTGGACTGACTGACTGAGTTTGGTTTTACGCCGCTTTTAGCAATATTCCAGCAATATCACGGCGGGGAACACCAGATGGGCTTCACACATTGTACCCATATGGGGATTCGAACCCGGGTCTTCGGCGTGACGAGCCAACGCTTTAACCACTAGACTATCCCACCGCCCCTTATATGTGGAATGTTCCTGTGTATTTCGATATGTTTGCACCTACTTTGTTAGTACATACATTGTATAGTTTATATAATTTTGCCACTGTTCCTTCATGGAACATAAAACAGCTGCAGCTGTATAATATTATATAGGTGAGGTCGACTACTTTTGACCGACCCTCGTAAGTGAGACATGTCCTGGCGTTGATTGTTTCGTAAATGTCAGTCAGTCTTCCGCATACATTAATTAATGTAGTTCTCCCAAAGGAACCTTTCTGATGATGGCGAGTTCGGCAAAGGACGTCGAGAATGATAAGAGAAGATAAGATAAGATATTTATTGTTGCATAGCATTCCATGAAGAAACATTAATATTCTATAACCTACAAACATGAACACTGAAGGTACAAGAAATATGGATACATTTCACACATAAATGATGTACATTATAACATTGTTTTTGAGAAATCATGTGGTATAAGGACATGGAAATAATATATGAGGAGACTATGGTAAGATATAAAATTCATAAAGTTGTAAATATGGTGATATATTTTGGAAATTAATTCCGGACTTCTGTTCGTGAAAATTATTAGGAATTGTTCTTTGTTTGAGAGTGTAGTAAATTCTTGGTCATAATAAAGCATTGTATGTATAAATGATTCCCTTCTTTGCTATACTTGGTACATGATATTACATGGTGTTGCTCATCGTCTAAGACACTGCACATTTCACAGAGACGTTGTTCTAGTGGGTTGCAGGTTTTGTATATCTTCCAGTTTCAATTTTGAGTTTATGATTACTTAAACGTAGTTTTGAAAAATGTGATCGATGAGCTTTGTTTTTACAATGAAATAGATAATTTTCGAGTTTCATAAATGACTTGACCAATCTGTATGCTCTTAATTTGTTATTTGAAGTATGGGAATCACTTAGTGATTGCTTGAACATGTCTTCACATTTTGACTGGAGTTTATTCATGGTAGATAGATTACATTTATTCGTGTTCGCTATTTCAAAGGTTTGCTCTATTTGATTAACTTTATGAACCCAGCCTATATTGTGATCACAGAGACTGATATTTGCTTCCATGGCATCTTTAAGGATGATATTTGTTGTGTTATCTATATGGAACTTGTAATCAATTATCTTTTGATGATTGGTACTAGTAATGGGTACACACCTAGTTCTGCGCGACAGCCAAGTTATGTGTTTTTCTTGCCTACTCCCTAGCAATGATTTACAAACCTGAAGCTGTAGCTTTTCTGGGAGCAGTGTGTCAATATTTTTTAACATTGTAAAATCTACACCCCAGACTTCACAATTGTATAACATTTGTTATAATGAGTATGAGCGCATGAGATCTTTGTCGGGATCGAAACAATCATTTTATTTGCCCCTCACACACTACACAAATACAAGTGAACATAACCCAAACAAACACAAATAAAAGTGAATATTGCAACAGCAGCAACAACAACAACAGCAACAGCAACAACAGCTACGTCAACAATAATATTTATCTCAACAGTATTTATTGGGATTATTTGAGAGAAAAAAGCTTTATTCAATAAAAGCTTACTGTAGCCCCATTTTACAATGTCTTTAACAAGTTCATGTTACATGGTGCACTAGTTACTATATCTGACATGGAGTTAAGACCGGAAGTGTCTGGACCAACCGGAAGTTTCCAGCGTTGACCGACCAAGCGAAAGTTCCAGGACAGAAACTACTTGAAACCTTCTTCAGTAGATCATTAGTCATATCCCATTACAAGAGTGAGTGAGTGAGTGGGTGTGAGTGAGTGAGTGACCAGACATCGTACCCATGTGGGGAATCGAACCCAGGTCTTCAGCTTGAGGAACGGGCACACACACACACACACACACACACACACCTCCCATTTCTAGAAGACCAGCAATTGTGAGAAAATAATATTTATCCCAATATTCCCAGCCGAGATCTAATTTGGAAGGTTGACCAATGTGGCAGTTAGGTGAATATTATATTATCATCACTGTTTTCCTTGCTATAACCACTTCTTTCATTTTATATTGCCCTTGTATTTGTACAAGGCTGACTTTGTACGTCTCCTGTATCTTGTACTGCCATTGTATTTACTTTTTAGTGGTTTTTAATATTTACTTCAAAACATTGTTAATATTAGAGTACAATTGTTAATTATACAAACATTGTTGTTTCCACACTGTATTGATGATCACATTCGTTGTGATCACCAGGCATTAGGAAGGCAGGTGGAATCACTCTATAGAGCGTTGAGAAACTATTTCACACATTCAAAGCAGTACAATAGAATAACAGACAATTGCTGCTAGAAGATTATAACATTATATAATTAGGATATTTTGCAAACAGATATGACGCAGGTTTGACTCATTCAGTAGAAACATGAGACTATAGAACATGAAGTTACATGATGGACATAGAGTTACTTCCCTTAGACCATACACAAGACACACATATACACATGTATTTCAGTTGTTCATTTTAAACATGGTCGTTCATACAGAATTGATATGTACATCTATAGGGTGAAATGCACAAGGACAGGTACTCTGTATATCATTATGTTTCCTGATTAACACTGTCAAGTATAAGGTTGTTTGGTCTTTGTCACGGTGCTGGCAGCGGTAATGACCCCTGCGTTAAGGGTCATTGGCTCAACCATGTGTGGTCGTCTAGAAACACCATAATGACCGCACCAGTGAACTAAGATAAAATAATATATATGAAAAAGAGCACAACCTAACTGTAATGTTAATACATTTATTAGGACTATAACACATGTAGACCTGAATAACCAAAATAAAGTTGTAATATGTAACAATGAGCTGAACTCCTATTAAGCCTTATATTCTTGTAAGACTGTATGGACATGAAGAATCAGTAATAATAAAAAATACCCCTGACAGGAATAGTCTGTTACATGAAGTAATAAGCGGAACGCCAGACTGAAGGTAAGATTACAAGGAACTTACCAACATATTCCTGTGTCCAGCGTTCCAAGAGGTCCTAGTTGGTGTGAGTCCACCTGGGAACTGACCCCAACTAGAATGGTTTGGAATTTATAGGGAGTTGGCGGACGTCAGAGGGGACAACCTCTGACTTGACCAAGAAAGATTGAAAATGATACTTGAAACTTAGAGACTGTGTTTCTCAAGCATCAGGTTTTAATATATAGCCAAAAAATATTCATTAATCTTATGAGTCAAATATGGACATGTGATAGCAGACGTTAGTGGCTACCATCACGTATGATTTTAATTGTTCTACATTAACTAATAATGAAGATATAGTCCCAATAAAGATTTGAAAATAGTCTTCCACTGGGATTAATAGAAGAAAATACTGCATTTCTCCCAAAATAAACAAGTTTATATAGATTAGACCATATAGCCCGAAAACTAAATATTATGGGCCCAGTTGCATGATACAAGATTTAGGTTACATTCAAAAGTTGACTTTAATTCTTGACATGATATATCCGTGACAAACACACATGGACTACATAAATTGTATTGAAGTCAACTTTAGTACAGGGTTTCGTCACAGTCTTGTGACGACAGCTGTCATCGATGTACATTCAGTTGATAATAGAATGCAAATTAGAGTGATGGTGTATTTACAAATATCAGGTTCCTGTATTTGCTTTCGCTTTCAATATTCAAATGGGAAATGTCAACAGTAGAATCAAAAAGCTCTGTCCATAATTTTAACTCTCTCTCTCCGTTGTCAGTAATCCAGATGGGCCCACAACCTTACTCAGATAATCCAGGGGCAGGTTGGTGAATATGATGTCATACCTCATGTCACCCAAGACATCTGTCTGTTCTCAGACGTGTCACTCACACCTTCCTTCCGGCATCTTTCCTTTGTCCAGGACAGAACTGCGTCAAATATATCTTTCTCTTCAGTTTCAGTGTGTTCGATTTGAGGAGCTTCCCTAGACAATCAGAGTTAAAGATCCACAAATCCTGGAGACTTGGTGACTCTCTTCCCTCCTTCAGTCAAGATCTTCAGGGCCTTCTGTTCCAAGTCCAGTTCCCCGTAACCATGACACTCCTCCAGGATCTGGCAGACATTGTCCTGTGACAGGGACTTATCCAGGAAAGTTACACAGAGATCGTACAATGCATCAAGAGAATATTTTCTGGATGTGTACATTAGGCCTGTGACTGTTTCAGCGTTGATTCGGGCCTCGTCTGTGTATATATACCTACAATAAATGATAATGGTTCATTTGGAGACAAACTTGTTCTTGTGAATCACCGCTCTTTGAAACATTACTTCCCATAAATATTCAGAACGTTAAGCATGCCATATCGGGAGGATGATGTGGGCAATGAAGATGGAGAGGTAACACATTCTTCAGTACTTCCAGCTTAGCTATGGGTGATATTGGTACATACTTTGTTTCACGATTTGTGGTACTCTGAACTTCAGCTTGATACTCAACAGTTTTGCCAAAAAACATATAGGGTTTGCATCTGCTATTGTAGTACGTTATCAACCCAAATATGGAAGGCGATTTGGAAGGCCATGGGAGAAACTGAAAAGTGACATTTGCTGAGTAAGGCCTGGCATTATCTTGCTGAAACTCCCTCTGGTGGTCTATGACCATGTAAATCCTTAAACTTTCGTCTCTCTACCGAATAGCAGTTACATTGCCCTGAAGGCGCACAAAGTTCGACTACTGCGCGTATGATATTGCTCCACATCATGATACCATCATCGATTCCGCAAATAAAGTACCTGGATGTGCTTATCTGAGGTAATCTGAGGTCTACCAGTTCAAGCCCTCTCTTGCTTAGAATTGGTTTGATGATATCAGTCCAACAAACGACCGATGGTACCCTGGCAAACATTGAGGTGACTTGCAACGGCAGACTGAGACTCTCCAGCCTCAGACCTCCAACGGCAATGTTTCGATGTACAGCCGTGAGTTGCGGCATAACGATATACTTTCGTTTGGGTAAAAATGCCAATGACCGTCTAAAAGTGCAAACCGGCCTTATAGGCAATGCCACTGCTCACGATTCTTTAAAACTGCACGTGCATATTCCGAACCACTTTTTTTCCCATTATATTTTTCATGCAGGTTGACACTTTCGAACGTAAACATGTATTACACAGTTTCCAATGCCTTTTGCGCTGTGCATTCGTTCCATGGACACAAAGCAGCATTATAATGGTGAAATTAAATCAATCAAACGCCATTTATATGCCAAACTAATTAAACGGCGTCCATAATGTCCATGTCATATCGTAGCTTAACATATATGATTGCAGAACTTAGTTTGCAGTTTCTGACATAGATTGCCATGAATGCTTTGAAAATGACTTCTAAGCTGTCAGGGGTGGTTACCCCCCCCTTCATCACCAGGAGGCCACGGAATACGTATTAGTAGCGTTGACAGAACGTTGATTTAACACTTTTAGATAAATCAAAATAATCTTATTCTGTATTAAATAATATCTGCCCAGCGAATATGGAAGGTATTTTCATTTTGTAATGAATGAATTGCAAATTAGTAGATTAATCACACCTTAAGAATTCCTTGAAGATGTCTGCCTCAATATCCGGGATGGTTACCTCCTTTTTTCCGCCATTGGGCCACGGAACATCGCATCGAACACACAGCTGCGACTGACAAGAACATATAGCGGTGAGCTCGGACCACCTGTTGCTGTGACCCCACCCTGAAGGTGACGTCACTGAAGTCTTCTGTTTCGAGCATGCGAAGATTGCACTGTTTAACTGTCTTCCTTGCCTGCCAGTTGTCCACATACCCAGATTCTTGTCTTTTTTAACGGACATCGTGTAGTTCTGAACAGACAAAACGAGAACATATATATATATATCACTGAGTGGTTGGTGAAACACTGAATATATATAAGTAAACCAAGTAGTGTAAACATGATTCGATTACAACTAAGAACAGAAATTCACTTCACCACATTTCATTGTTCCAGCAATCCTCAACAGATGATGTATTGAGAAATTACTGACATCTTCAATTATTTTGAATATATTTTGAACTGAAATGAAGATATCTTAAATAGAGATTCAGGGGCGACTTTGTAAACAAACATTATCAAAAATCTGTCAGAATTGATGACAGAAGTACATGGTTACGTACTTCGTTACGCTTAATCAGTGTATTTTACGTGCGAGAGAGAAAGAGAGAGTTTGGTTTGGTCGTTGTTTAAAGCCACACCCAGGAATATTCCAGCTATATGGCGGCGGTCTGCGTAAAGTCGAGTCTGGACCAGACAATCCAGTGTTTTGATTGAAATCATTGGTTGGTACCTTTCCTAGATGATTGCCTTTTACTCGTGACTCATAACCTGTATTTTATACTTTCAATTTGAACGAAGTACTCCGGCCGTTTCATGTTTTCCCAAGTTAAATACTGCAGACTCCAGAACTTCTGTCATCATTTCCCACAGAATCACCAAGTTTGATAGTGGGGCCGGCTCGCGCAATGGAAAACCCTGTAAAGCGACATCATTAATGAAATGTTAACGGTTTACGACGATTCGTATGGCGTGTATGGAGAGAGAGAGAGAGAGAGAGAGAGAGAGAGAGATTAAATAGATTTTGACATAAAGAGAGCCGGATAATAACGTCATAGTTCTAGAATCTGTACTTTACTAAGAAATTGTAATCCCAAATATGACATTGCATTTTGTTGCATTTGACCACTTTCTAAAATGGCATTGTGTATTTCATGGCTTTCGGCCGTGAGACCGTGCCAATCAACACTTATCAGAGGGGTACACAAAGTCCGCGGTCTAGACTACCAGTTGTCCGACTTCCATTTTGGAAGGAAGCCGCGGTGGCTGAAGCGGTCTAGGCGTCTGACTTTGTGTACTGGCGATTAGGGTGCCTGACTCTGAGGGTGCGGGTTCGAATCCCGGATGGGACTCAACCCCAAAAGTACTAGAATCTGTACTTTACTAAGAAAGTGTAATCCCAAATATGACATATGTTGTAACGTCATATAAACATTCAGTGTGATGCAGCCAAAGTGCTTGAGCTCGAAACGAGAGGCCGAAGTGAGTATTGTGAGTATTGTGAGTATTAATGAAGAACATCCTTAGAAACGGATTATAGAAATTCGACGCATGCGCACCACATGTCACCATGACACCTCGCTACCGTTGATACAAGAATTGAACGGGTTACAGGCCTATTATTATCTAAATTTACTGTCATTAAAATAACAGTACGCCGTCGGTTCCAAATGAATTCCCGTCAAATACTCAATAACACCGGAAAATTCGCCAACACATGATGTTTATCTCTAAATACATTTGAATAAAAATTAAATTCAATTACTTCTATTTGAGAATTCTATAATTCATTTCAAGATATCTATAATTCATTTCAAGACATCTATAATTCATTTCAAGATATCTATATTACTTATCATTTCATATCTATAACCATTCTATAATTCATTTCAAGATATCTATAATTCATTCCAGACATCCATAATTCGTTTCAAGATATCTATAATTCATTTCAAGATATCTATAATTCATTTCAAGATATCTATAATTCATTTCAAGATATCTATAGTCAGTCCGAGACATCTGTTCATTCCAAGACATTCTAATTCATTTCATATCTATAATTCATTTCGAAGATATCTATAATTCATTTCAAGATATCTATAATTCATTTCAAGATATCTATAATTCATTCAAGACATCTATAATTCATTCCAAGACATCTATAATTAATTTCAAAGATATCTATAATTCATTTCAAGATATCTATAATTCATTCCAAGACATCTATAATTCATTTCAAGATATCTATAATTCATTTCAAGATATCTATAATTCATTCTCAAGACATCTATAATTCATCCAAGACATCTATAATTCATTTCAAGATATCTATAATTCTATATATTCATCTATAATTCATTTCAAGACATCTATAATTCATTTCAAGATATCATAATTCATTCAAGATATCTATAATTCATTTCCAAGATATCTATAATTCATTCCAAGACATCTATAATTCATTTCAAGAATTCTATAATTCATTTCAAGATATCTATCTATAATTCATTTCAAGACATCTATAATTCATTTCCAAGACATCTATAATTCATTTCAAAGACATCTATAATTCAAGTCAAAGACATCTATAATTCATTTCAAGACATCTATAATGCATTTTCTAATGCATCTAGACATCTATAATCATTTCAAGACATCTATAATTCCATTATTTCTGTGACATCTATATTTCATTTCAAGATATCAGCTATTATTTCCAGATATAGCTGATATGCTTCATCTTCTTCATCAGCTGAAGATATCTCTAATTTCATTCAAATTATCTTTAAAACAATTTAAGATATTAGTATTTCTGAATAAATGTGAAAACGGCTTCGCCATACTGTCAAAGTGATGCTCTTGTATTTACATGTGAACTTAGTTAATATTGCAGTTGTTTATCACATCATATAGCTTTGTTGTTTGTTTGCTTGTCAGAAATTGAAACGTAAATATGTCATTATTAACATTTCATCACAATTTTCCAGCGTCCCTAACGTCCTGTTCAGCTTCGAAAAGAAGCACACAAAGGGACGATGACACTATAAACAGTGATTTCTACTTAATGCATGTTTTGACTTGAGCAAGATTGTTAAAGGACACAACTCTGTAAAAAGCTCTTCCAAAAGGCTGACGTGTGAATTATGCACATAGTTCAGTTAAAGGTCACATGCAACGTAAAACACAACTTTGCAGATTCTGATACCTTTCGGTATGGACTTACCGAAACAAATCATCAAAAATGCAAATTCAACTTATAAAGTTGAAAAATAACGCGATGAAAAAAACCGCGCGAAATCGTCGTTCAAACGATTCACTAACTTTCCCCCAGCGCTTGGGGGAATTGAAGTGGTTTCAAAAGCTGGGCTGCGCTCATAGCACGTGCGCAGTGAAATAGGTTCGCGCAACTTGGAAGCGGGTTGTCCGGTGACTATTCGGTGAAGGCTTTGGTGTGAGCTATTTTTCTAATGTTTTGTTGATATTTCACAGGCGCGAGCTTTTTAGTACAGTAGATTACCGATTTAACTCTTTATATAATTTCATTTGTCTATTTCACAACACGTTCTTCTTACCGAGTCACTTTCTCAGTTCGATACTTAAAAGCAATGTCATTATTTATAGCGTCGACAGAATTTCTTACTGTGATATAGATATGTCGTTGTCACAGACAAAACTCAGTGTCTGTTTTATTGGCACCTATGTGTCTGCCTGCCCGTCTGCTAATGACAATATTCAATAAACAATTTCAATCACTGACCACATGCAATTGGAACTTAACACCTAACAGGCTATACACCATAAACAAAACGCATTGATTTATGGCCCGAGTTCGGTCTCTGTCACATTATGTAATTACACAGACAGACAGATGTGATACTTGTACACATGACATGTTATGATGTCTGTTGATTGCAAAATGTTATACACAAAAAATGAGCATGTATTTACAAAACCGAACATCTCTATATATACACACAAAAATGAGCCGTGAAGGCGGCATCTGCAAATGAACCAGCCGTTACACTTGAGTGCACACTCACCCGCTCTGACGGGGTTGGGTATCCCGGCTGCTTCGTTTCTTGGAAGTAAAACCCAAGTACAAAATATTGCACTTTTGATTTGCGATTGTACGCTTATAATTTTGTTTTTATGTTTTTTCATAACCCGCAATGTATATTATATGTCATGAATAAGTGATAATTGTGTTTTAATTATGTTTGATGTTTTGGTTGCATGTGACCTTCATGGTATCAACGTTATCGTACACGTCATACTGTGATAGCCACATGGTGTGTTACGTCACGGAATCTCTTTGGGTACAACTGATTGTTACAATATGTATATTACAGTTGTTTACGTGTCGCGGAATCTAGGGTACAAGTGGTTGTTACAATATGTATATTACAGTTGTATACATGTCGCGGAATCTAGGGGTACAAGTGGCTGTTACAATGTGTATATTACAGTTGATTACGTGTCACGGAATCTATTGGTACAAGTGGTTGTTACAATGTGTATATTACAGTTGTATACGTGTCACGGAATCTAGGGCTACAAGTGGCTGTTACAATGTGTATATTACAGTTGATTACGTGTCACGGAATCTATTGGTACAAATGGTTGTTACAATGTGTATATTACAGTTGTATACGTGTCACGGAATCTAGGGGGTACAAGTGGCTGTTACAATGTGTATATTACAGTTGTATACGCGTCACGGAATCTATTGGTACAAATGGCTGTTACAATGTGTATATTACAGTTACACCCACTATCAAAAGCTATACTCGACCTGATGCAAAAAGTTGGGACACTCAAGTAGGAAGAAACAAACTCCATGAATTGAAGCCAACAATCGGTTATACCTACTCGGGTTGTCAGTCAAGACGCGATGAGGTAATTTTACGACGATGTCGTATTGGCCACAGTCGATTTACACATGACTATCTGCTGAAAACGGATGGTGGATGGACCCCCAATGTGTGTCTCTTGCGATGAGGTGTTCACCGTCAAGCATATTCAGCTTGAATGCGTGGACTTATCGCCTGCAAGGCACTCACATTATGATGCAACAAACCTAAAAGATCTGTTCTGACGCGTGAGCGCCTATCTGATACTGAACTACCTGAGGGGTTAGTTGACCTGTATCATAAATTGTAACTGTGAAATGTAACAACCATAAATTGTAACTATGAAATGTAACAAACCGCCTGCCTTTAAATTTGATGCTATGACTTTTTCTGCTTTTGAATGACAATGTAATCAATAAAATCAATCATTCCGGGTATGTACTTACAATATTTACTAATGCAAACTTGTTCTCGTCACTATATGGCTGGAAAAATGCCGATGTGACGTAAAGCTCAACTCAACTCAACAACGTGTCACGGAATCTATGGGTACAAGTGGTTGTTACAATGTGTATATTACAGTTATACCATTAGGGTGTGGTCATGTTATCAACATCCACAAATTTTGGTCTCTTTTACGTGCAAATAACAAGAAACTTCAAGTTGGAGCTATTGTGAAGGGAGACAAGCTTCTCAATACCCCGATAGAGGTATGCGACGCCATTGCTGACCACATGAAATCTGTGTTCTGCTCAAATCTGGATGACAGCTTTGACAACGCCTTTAAAGAAGAGATAATGGAGAAGGTTAAGCATCTCAGAGATGAGATTTACTCTACTCAATATGATCTGAAGGAACTTATGACATCAAGCAGTGAGATAGAGAACATATGTAGGCAACTTAAGAATAACAAAGCTGCAGGCTTCGACGGAATCTCGTACGAACACCTGAAATATGGGGGACCCTACTTGTATACTTTTCTTTCGGAGCTCTTTAACAGGATTCTCACAACAGGACACATACCTCATCCATGGAAAAGGGGAATAATTGTCCCTATCTACAAAGGCCATAACAAAGAGAGAACATCTCCGGATTCATATAGAGGGGTAACCATATGTATAAATCGTGTAATAATGGAATATTTGTTACTCCCCAAATCAAAGATTTACTTTTGCTTCTCTTTGCAGATGATATTGTTACGTTTTCATTCATGGTAAACGGACTGCAGAGACAGATAAATATTCTTCAAACATTTTGTGACACATGGGGACTAGAGTTGAATATGGAAAAATCTAACATAGTTGTCTTTAGAAATGGGGGTATAGTGGCACATTCTGAAAAATGGTTATTCCGTGGCAAAAGTATTAATGTTGTTTCATATTATAAATATTTGGGTCTTCTATTTTCCAGCCGATTAAATTGGTCCATGGCATCTAAAACCCTTGCAGCACAAGCTAAGAAGGCATTATTTCCTATTTTAAACTGTTTAAGGCTAATAAGTTTATTTCATTTGACTCAGCTTGCTTACTTTTGACACTAAAATAGCACCAATATTGTTATATGGATCTGAAATTTGGGGAGTAAACTATTTCGAAGCTATAGAAAATGTGCATGCATCATATTTTAAAAGATTTCTTACTGTAGGTAAATTTGCTTCCAACAAAGCCGTACTTGGCGATACAGGCCGCTATAGCATGCATATTGAGAGTCAAATGAGAGCTATCAGATACTGGATTAAACTTATAAGAATGCCTGATTATCGCTACCCCTATCAAAGCTATCAATTATTATTATCCCTAGACAAACGTGGAAAGTATTCTTGGGCTTCTGGTGTCCGAAATGTGTTATTTTCAAGCGGGTTTTCTTATGTTTGGTTTAAGCAAGATGTTGGTGATATAAAAATGTTTTTGTTAACTTTTAAGCAACGAATAAAAGATATATATATTCAGAATTGGCACGCATCAGTAAATTCATCGAGTTTTCTAAGTCATTATTCACAATGTAAATCGATGTTCGGACCTGAAAAATATATTAGGGTCCTTAATGATAAGTCCCTTTTAAGAAATTTTTGTAAATTTAGAATCTCTCTACATGCCTTAAAAATACAGCGTTATAGAAAGATAAAAATACATTGGAAGATTTATCATGTTCTCATTGTTCTTCTGGTAAAACTGAAGACGAACGTCACTTATTATTAGACTGTGAGGCATTCTCTGCTGGCCGAAAGAAGTATCTAAAATGCTTTAATGATGCCCCACAAACGATATATAAAATACTTAATTCTAATAACGATGACACTATTAAATCAGCTGCCATTTTCATAAAACATTTGATGTCCATCCTTAAATCACATGTAAAACCATAATTTCGTGTCACGTGACCAATATTTGTTAAAATGAAAATTCAACTGTACTATGGGCCACTGTGCCTACATTACTGAATAAAACCTGTCTGTCTGTCTGTCTGTCTGGTAACCCTGCTGCCAGTAATATCGAAACTGTTTGAAATGGTAATTTCCAAGAGAATTCCACAGTTCAACGACTGTAAGACATTCCCAGATCACCAGCAGTGCGGGTTCCAAAGGGATTATCCTCGACACACACCTCCTTCATAGTGCAGGAATCCGTTCATCATTACCTGGAGAGGAATGATAAAGTTCAAGTTGTCTTTCTCGATAGCACCAAAGCTTTCGATACAGTGTGGCACGAGGGGCTTCTTTGGAAACTGAACCAGCTAGATATACCTAGACCCATATGGAAGGCTCTGGACAACACATACAAAGGCATGACGAGCAGTGTAATGGTCAATGGAACTATATCAGAATTGTTTACTCTTGAAAGGGGAGTGAGGCAAGGGAGTGTGCTCTCGGCAAAATTATATCTCGTTTACATCAACGACCTTCTGAAAGCCTTGGATTCGACAAAGAAGGGAGCAATGGTGTTAGACTCCATATTGCAGCACCGACACAAGCTGACGACATCTGTCTCATCAGCCCAATCTCATCTTATCTTCAGGACATGGTCGCTCTTTGTGAGACTTTTAGCAAAAAATGGAGATTCACATTTTCACCTGTTAAGAGCAATGTAATGCTATTTGGTAAATCAAAGAAGAAGGACTGCAACATAATCCTCTATCAAAAAGAAATACCAATCTCAGACTCACTCAAACATGTTGGTGTGACTCTTAATTCACAATTCAATTCCTGGGACAGGACGGTCAGTGCAAGCTCCAAAATGAAATCTTCAACGATGATGCTGATGAAGTCTGGTTGCCACTGCAAAGGTTTAAACCCAATCACTAGTGCAAACCTCGTAAGAACTGTAAGCATCCCAAGAGCCCTATTCGGCTCAGAGTTGCGGTTTAACCTTACTAAAGGCGAGATTATAACTCTCGAACGAGCCCAACGTTTCTGCCTAAAAGTGTGCCAACGCTTACCAAGATCAACAAGAACAGACATCTGTAACTCATTAATAGGATGGAGCCCTTGGAAGCAGCAATACATATGAGAAAGCTGTTCTTCTTTGGTATCCTCTGCAATACCCAACACCATCTCCTTGCACACCAGGTTTTCCTCAACAGACTTCATGCCTTCAAGAACAAATGCACAGGACTTACTCAAGGATTCCTTCCGGATATATGCCAAATTCTTGAACATTATAACCTGCTGCCTCACCTACATTCCTTCCTACAGACTCATCAGTTTATGCCTCAATCATCATGGAAGAGAACTGTGAAGAAAGCTATACAGGAACAGGTGGAGGAAGAGTGGCTGCACCGGACGTCGTCAGATCCAGACCTGAAGCACTTTCTGAATATTCATTCTTCCATCAAACCTCATCCAGCCTGGAAGATTGCAAAGGCCTTGCCAAGACTGAAGAAGAAGTGCACATTCCTAGTGCAAATGTGTTCTGCATGGCGCCCAGACAAAGTTCCTGGTACCTGTTCTGACTGTGGCTGTGATCACAACGACTGGTTAACACATATTGTATGTTGCTGTGCTGCTAACGAGTCTGCGAGAGACACTCTGTGGTGCAACATCGCCAGTATCAACCCAATAGAGCTGAGTGTCAGTCTCCACACAAGATCTGATGCAGACATAGTATCCTGCATCCTGTCCTGCCAGCCCCCAGTCACCCTGCAGGTAGATGACCTCAAGCTGTACCAGTCTGTGCTGATCGAGGGGTTCTACAGCCTCTGCCACGATACTGACTCTTAAATTACACGCATAACAAATTATCCATGATTTAATTTAATTGTTTTTCCCTGCTGTTCTTGTAATCTCCTATGGAGGAATAAAAGAGTATATATTACAGTTATACCATTAGGGTGTGGTCATGTTATCTACATCCACAAATAACTACCTCTGGCTAGTCTATACCACAACACACTGTACACTAGACAAATCATCGTTCCGTACAGATGTACGTACAGTGTACACCTTACCTGAGCTGGTACAGATGGTTTGAACACAGAGAGGGCGAGAGCAACTTTCACCTGTCGGATACCTGTAATCCTAGTTTCGGTTTGACCCGACTTCCGTTTAATCAGTGTATTTTACGTGCGCTTTATTTAATATCAAACGGAGGACAACTCTGTGATTAACGTATTGTAAGACCAGAATAACACTCACCCCCAACCCCTCCCCCATACAGTCTAACGTCAGTAGAACGTTGTTGTCATCCAGTAACAGCATTTAAATCTACATGTTATCAATGCTGTATTCAATAGAAGCCTATCTACATTGGAGATATATATCTTCCTCTGTAACAATGTCTCTTACATATACGTTTTACAATTTTGATTAAAAGAAACTTTCAGCAATCGTCAGCAAGAGATGTTCATTTCCAAACAATGTTGATCTTGAATCCGAAGACTGGAAGATCATTCATCCCAAGAAGTGTTACACTGCATCATGTAAATAGCTGAAAATAATGCTGGAATGAAGCACTGATTTTATTCAGGGTATACGAAAGGAAAGGCTGTATCCTCCTTTGCCAGTGTTGAGATCACCATGTACATGATCATTCATGTTGTTTATACTAGAAATCTAAATAAACATATTCCTAAAATTCTCAATAATTTCTGGTCATACTATAACACTCACCCCAACCCCTCCCCCATACAGTCTAACGTCAGTAGAATGTTGTTGTCATCCAGTAACAGTATTTAAATCTTCATGTTATCAACGCTGTATTTTCAGTAGAGGCCTATCTACATTGGAGATAGATGTCGTCCTCTGTAACAATGTCTCTTATATATACAAATCTGATTAAAAAGAAACTTTCAGCAATCGTCACATGGGACTCAACCCCAAATGTACTAGAATTTGTACTTCAATAAGAAAGTGTAATCCCAAATGTACAAGTATATGCATGCATACATTCTGTGTCCTGTATAACACCGGAGAGGCAGCGGAGGTCCGGTGTCGGTTTCTATATTTTACCTAATACTGGACTAAATCTTCGACTATAACCTGAATATGTGTTGAGCGACAAATTTCAACTCTTATATAAAGCACATGTACATTAAGTAAGGGCAGGTGCTGAAATGAATGATCTGGACAAGGCTACAATGAGCTTATGTCAGCACCGTGAGGGACATAACTCTGTAAAGACTCTTCTAAAAGAAAACCAGAATCTACTGACTTTCAAAAGATAAAATCCGCATCAGCAATCAGTGTATTATGGGAGTTTATTATGTTGTTTAATCCAATCCAACCCAATCAGTTTATGTAAATGTGTTTTTGAGTGTTAACTAATCTCCAGTACCGCTATGTGAAGCCCATTTCTGGTTTCCCCGCCGTGATATGTGAAGCCCATTTCTGGTTTACCCCGCCGTGATATTGCTGGAATATTGCTAACAGCGGAGTAAAACCATACTCACTCACTCTTTTTCATATACTTTCGCCAACTTGACACATTTTCGAAGACTGATTATACATATGACAAATAAACTGAGAGGTGTTAACACAAGCAGTGACAATAGTTGAGCTGGGAGCAGGGTTCTCAAACTAATCGCCAATTCGTGTGGCAAGCTATTTTTCGGTTGTGTAGAGTGAGTGAGTGAGTGAGTGAGTGAGTGAGTGAGTGAGTGAGTGAGTGAGTGAGTGAGGAGTGAGAGTGAGTGAGTGAGAGAGAGTGAGTGAGTGAGTGAGTGAGTGAGTGTGAGTGGGTGGGTGGGTGGGTGGGTGGGTGGGTGGGTGGGTGAGTGAGTGAGTGAGTGAGTGAGTGAGTTTTACGCCGCTTTTAGCAGTATTCCATCACTATCACGGCGGGGACACCAGAAATGGGCCTTAACATATTGTACCATTTTGGGAATCGAACCCGGGTCTTCAGCGTGACGAGCGAACGCCTTAACCACTAAGCTACCACATCGCCCGGTTGTGTTGAACCTAAGATAACTCGAACTCCCTTCGAGTTCCACACACCATTGTTTGACTGTTGTTTCTTTTCCTTCTTACATTATATGAACTTACGTCTTAGAAGTCCTCATCTCTATCAAAGGTTAGCTGGGATATTTGTAGTTGTACATGTTTACCTTTCTAAACTGTCAGCTGAACGAGACAGGAACATAAACATCAATTCAAACATTGAATCTAATCGAATCTATTCAATGATTGTATCGTCCGACTCTGGCCAGGTGCAAAATCCCCATGAGACTTGTCTTCAATTAAAATTGACGGCTCTGTAAATGTTTATTTTAGTAGTAGCTTTTTGTCCATAAACACGACACGTTGCGATGCATAACTACGTGTGGTATACATAGATTATCCACCAACTGTATGATACTGGGGCACAAGGTGTTAAGGTCGTCCAAGCGGCCACGTTTCACGGTTCTGGCCCGGGAAAGCGGAATTTTGGACCAAACCTCCTCAATTTAGGTGTCGCTTTTGCGGAACGATCAAGCTACAGTGAACACCGAATTTAGCGTTCCTGGGACTCTCAACACACAAGAAAAACAAAAAAATGTGAGTCGTCGTCTGATACCGTAGTCATGGTAGAAATTTAATAAATAAATAACAATAAATGTTTGAGTCACAGACTGTTCACCGATGTCACATTGATGGATCATGAGTCTAGGAATGGTCTTGTGCCGCCGTCTATAGAGAATGGTCTTGTGCCGCCGTCTATAGAGAATGGTCTTGTGCCGCCGTCTATAGAGAATGGTCTTGTGCCGCCGTCTATAGAGAATGGTCTTGTGCCGCCGAGTGTAGAGAATGGTCTTGTGCCGCCGTCTGTAGAGAATGGTCTTGTGCCGCCGTCTATAGAGAATGGTCTTGTGCCGCCGTCTATAGAGAATGGTCTTGTGCCGCCGTCTATAGAGAATGGTCTTGTGCCGCCGTCTATAGAGAATGGTCTTGTGCCGCCGTCTGTAGAGAATGGTCTTGTGCCGCCGTCTATAGAGAATGGTCTTGTGCCGCCGTCTATAGAGAATGGTCTTGTGCCGCCGTCTATAGAGAATGGTCTTGTGCCGCCGTCTATAGAGAATGGTCTTGTGCCGCCGTCTGTAGAGAATGGTCTTGTGCCGCCGTCTATAGAGAATGGTCTTGTGCCGCCGAGTGTAGAGAATGGTCTTGTGCCGCCGTCTGTAGAGAATGGTCTTGTGCCGCCGTCTATAGAGAATGGTCTTGTGCCGCCGTCTATAGAGAATGGTCTTGTGCCGCCGTCTATAGAGAATGGTCTTGTGCCGCCGTCTATAGAGAATGGTCTTGTGCCGCCGTCTGTAGAGAATGGTCTTGTGCCGCCGTCTATAGAGAATGGTCTTGTGCCGCCGTCTATAGAGAATGGTCTTGTGCCGCCGTCTATAGAGAATGGTCTTGTGCCGCCGTCTATAGAGAATGGTCTTGTGCCGCCGTCTATAGAGAATGGTCTTGTGCCACCGTCTATAGAGAATGGTCTTGAGTGAAACGAAGGAAGGTATTTCCTTTAGCAGGTCGTCTGGAAATCCGATGTTTTCATAGCAATTCGCCTTTTGGCTTTACCGGGAATAGACAATATTGAAATTCGCTTTCCCATGCCGACACCCGTTTTGCCGCTCAGGGTTGCGTCCCGGGGGTACGCCAGAAAGCCATGATCGTGTGTACACCTGATTACTTCTCTAGAATTGTCAGCACGATACTAGTAAGTTTCACTAGGGAGACTATATAAGGTTGTAGAGTATCCCTGGTTTCACCAAAGTGGAAAACGTCTGAGGCCTGCATCACTCCGGGCTTTCCCCCCATATTATAACCGACTAGAGTTCCAAACCTCCCACTGTATCATGCGGGCCACCAAACCGAAACATGAGTCCCATGAGTGAGTGAGTGAACGAGTTAAAAATTAAAGTCACTTTGGCCAAATTTCAGCCATATGGTGACTAAAACAAGTTACAGATTAACAATAAGTAAAGATAGATTATAAAATCCTGTCAACGGAGGACAGTAGACGTGGGGGTTCAAATGGGCCATGGATTGAATAAAAACAAATCTTTCGCGGAAAGAAAACACCGGCATGTTGACACAATATCAAAGCAAAATGAACATGTTTGGCTGGAATTTAGTCATTTGACGTTGTGACCCGCCTTTGCATCATTACACCAAAACTATGTAGCTGCTGTTTTGTCAACAGCCATTAGCTTCTTTGCAGGTACTTCTGCAGTCACGTTTCATAAGGGCAGATAACTCTGAACGGCAAAACTGAAAATGCCTCATTGGGAGTGTCCTCTTCTCTAAATCTCCGCTATAAATCGACAGATGACCTGATAGGGCCACGCTGTTAGGACCCCTTGTGTAAGGGCTATATTGTTTGTTTCACGGATTTGGCTTGCCATTATATCGTTGCTCGGTTTAAATAATATCACAAATGTATTTGTGTTGCTCGGGATCATTTGTATTACAAAACATATGTTTGAAATGAAGTTTCTGTGATATTTGGGATTTATGAGAAAATGATAGATAATTCTATGTCGGAAGGGTAAACACGATTTCTACAGTTTTGTGTGTTGTCTAACGCGACACTCAGCAATATTCCAGCTATATGGCGTCAATTTGTAAATAATCGAGTCTGGAAGAGACAATCCAGTGATCAACAGCATGAGCATCGATCAACGCAGTTGAGATACGCTGAAATGTGTCAACCAAGTCAGCGAACGTGATCACCCGATCCCGTTAATCGCCTCTTACGACAAGTATGGGTTAGTGAAGATCACTTCTTCTTCACGGGTGAATTTCTACAGTACTTTCTACAGTAAGTAATTTCTTAATAAATGTGAAAACGGCTTGCCATACGCTCAGAGGTCTGGGGTGTACCCGATCTAAGGACAATTGTTAGGACAATGCGGTTTCATATTACCGGGTGTTAGTGAATAGATTACTGTAATACTATAATGAGCCCAGGACACAAAATAGAACCGACGATAGAATCTTGTCAAATACCACAGGGTTCATTTTTTAGTTTACGAGAAAACTTTTTCGGCAAGAAAAGCTACTCATTCGCCATTGAACTTTCAGCCATCAGATCAGATCACACATTCCCGTCTGACGCCATGTGCATGTGTGCCTGGAGCCTTGACTGGGTTTCCGACCACCCGTTCTAGATTCATTGTAACCCAT